CGCTTGCTGAGCATCGTGTGGGTCTCGCCTCTGACTGGCTTTCGCTGCACCCAGTTGGTGTTGCCAAAGTAGCCTCTTCTCCAGGTTGTGTCCTCCACCTTCTTCTTTTCGATGCTAGGGACATGTGATGCAACACTTGCTGTAAGATCTGAAAAACACAATCTCGAATTTGAGGCTGATTGAAGTTCGAGCCGGCGTATGGCACAACTTCTAGACAATACGTCCGCTTCAGCTTAAACTGTGGCTCAGACAAAGTCCACGAGAAAGCTGGTTTGCGGTCCCTGCTGAACTTTTCCACGACCCACTCAACACCGGCCGGATCCCGCCTTGTGTCATGCGAAGCTCCTTCCTTGCAAACACTCACAAGGTCGTCCAAGGAAGAGATCAGTTGGTTACTGCCTCTCGGCAGGAAGTTCTCTATCCATCCCTGGACATGCGCAGAAATGCAATCGATCAAGCCCTTCCCGTGCTTTTCACCAAAATAGTTGATGCGCGTTGGGCATTTGTAGCGCTGAAATACTTCACGAATCAGAAACGCCACGTGCTCATAACTTCTAAAGTGACCGCCGCAGTCGTGCCAGACTGAGAGGCCCTTTACATATTTGGCGGGCTCAGGTGCTGTAGAGCATCGCGAAAGAACTCGCCGGTTGCTAGGGACGTCTGTTCAATGATGTCCGTGAGGAACACGACATTCTTCTGTGCAATTGTACCATTCCTTATCTCCAACAACGCAAAAGCGACACATGTCAATTCTTGTCGCGAAGGTCCAACAAGTCTGCCGATCTGCGGAAGCTTTGTGCCAGTTGTAGGCATCCGCCACCTTGATCTCCCACCGAAGCTGATGGCTAATTTTGGCTTCTAGCTCGTGCAGCGACAGTCTCGTGGCCAAGTTCAAGCGTCGTTGGCGCAGTGCCCGGTTCGACTCTGCGTGGCCATCGACATGTTGCAAGAAGGACTTGGCGTGGGACAATCGGTCGCTGCTTTCTGGCTTGAAAAACCCATTGAAGTACTCTGCGTATTGAGCGATCAGCTGAGCCTCGGCCTCCTTCAAAAAAATCGCTAGCCCTGGCTCAATGCTGCTCTGCAAGAAGTGGCAATGGTCGCAGTAATCTGTAGACCGCTGCGGCGTGCGCGCCCAGGCACAGTTGGTGCAAAATATGAGATAGACCTGCTTCCAGGCCAACTTCTTCGCGAAGCTCTCAGCCACATTGACAAAAGAGACGAAGTCATGGTCCTGGCATTCATTCCGTGCGCAGCGAGCCACACAGAACTCTCTTGTGAATTTGCCATCACAGTGTCCTTCACTGCCTGCCTGTATCCAGTGCGGGTCCTTGAACTTTTGATGGGCGGCCTCGTGGCTCGACAGGGCTTTCGCCTGCAGCTCCAAGCTGGGCGTTCTGCCACTTCATGCGTGAAATTGGAACACCGAGCGTCCGCCACTCGTTCCGGCGCAGCCCGGCAGACGCAAGGTGGCAGTCCAGCGCTGCAACATCTCCTTGCTTCGATGCGAGCTCCGAGCGGTACTCCCCGACGCACTTGCAAATGGTATGACAAACGCAGTTTGTTCCTTGCCCAATGCCTTTGCGCACATACTGCTCCACACCCTGCAAAATTGCAAGAGCATCTTCTTCACGGTCGCCAGCGCGAATAAGAATCTCATTTTCAAGCTTCTTGATCAATCGCCGCTTTTGCCTGGCTGGATTCTTGCTGTACGCAAAGGCTGCGCGCGGTTGCGTCTGGGGCAGACCTCCTCCATGAACTGAACTCTTGCACCTGGCCTTCCTCCGCCTCTGGTGGGTGGCCGCTGCGCGAGCCCAGAGCCGGTTCCTGCAGACTGCTCTGCGGGTTGCCTCCTGCTAGAAAAGCTTCAGCTTCTGGATCCATGCGCCCGGTTCGGACAGCTGCGCCTAAGGCGCAAATGTCATCTTGCAGTGTCTCTGACAGCTGAATGAAAAAAATGTACGCCAGCTCCAGCTTCACATTGCGACGGGCTCCGCCGCGCTCGTCGCGCTGTGCTTTTGCAGCATCCACGAGAGGCTGGCCAAGCCTCTCCACAGTGCGTCTGACACACTCGTTCTTCAAGTCTTGCAAGTCCTGCCCGGCTATGGCGTCAGCTGGTCGCTTCCGACCTCGTCCCCCGCGAGCGCGCTGCTTTGGCGCACCTGCGCGAATCCACTCATCAAAAGCAGTCAGAACATCCATTGCTGCAAGGGCACAAGTTAGCGGCAATGTTGCGTTGAGCCCGTGCACTGCACAACTGACGGCCAACTTCCCAAGCAAGTCTTATCATCCATGTCCCTATACTGCTGGCTGCTTGCGCCCTCCCGCGACCCTCAAACAGGACAGACACCCTGCAATTGGGCCCTGCGCTTTCACACAGGCTTTCGCCGATCTTTCGCGAAACTTTCGCGGAAAACCGCCCGCGATTCAGGGGAGTTGCTGACCAAGAGCACACTTGGAGCACTAACCCGCCAAGCAAGGTAAATCAAAAGCGACAAGCTCCTTCCAACCCAGGAATGGGGGGCCAGCGCCGCGCAAAAAGGGGGTGTAAGTAAACCCAAAAGGAACAGGGGGTTTAATTCACGTGCTCCGCACTGTCACACTCTTGGTCAAGACACGCCTATTTAGGAAATTTTAGGAACTCTGTTAGGGGATCCCTTGGCAAAACTTATTGAAACCGACATCCAGGAAGCAACATAGCCGGTCTTTCGCGTGGCCTCAAAGGGGCTTTAGACCTTTTGAAAACAACATTTCCGCTTGGAACCCTTTCAACATGAGCGGTTTCCTGTTGGTTTCCCTGTCAAACCCTCCAAAAGGGCGCAAGACACATTGACAAACGCTGTTCGGCACAACCTTTCCAGGAAGCATGAAAAGTCGAAACTTGAAGTTGGCCAACTTTTCCATTTGCGACACCAACCAAGGCTGCTTAGAGCAACCGTGTTTTTGGTTGCACAAATCTTTGCATGGGTTTACACGGGTGTTGTAGCTCTCCTTTGCCTTCAATCCTCTTTGCAAACGCCTGCGCTCTCTGGTCACATTAGCAGGAACTAGCAAAAGCTATTGGCTTGTTGCCAGCGGGCCCAAGACTCGTGAGTTTTGGATAGGTCCCCAAGTAACGACAGAGGGTTTAATTCGCATGCTCCGTGGCGTGGCCAGCCCGTGCTAACAAGGGGTTTACAAACCCAAAAAGCAACAGGGGGGATAATTCGCATGCGTTACGAAGCGAAGCGACCTTTGCTTGTGCTGAGTTAGGAGCAGACCCTCGATTTTTGGTATAGGAGCTAACTATGGACCTGCCACACCCAAGTCTCTCTACTTCTTAGTCTGTTCTTGTATGCAGACAGGATGGCAAACGGCTAGTTTTTGAGAACCTGATTCCCGTGTTAATGAAATTCAGGGTTCGGATTGTCTCAAACATATGTGCTTTCAAGCTTTTTCGGAATCTCGCACACCTGGCCACACTTGGCGTTTCGGTGCGCTCACCCAACAGATTCCTTATTTCGGAAACCACCTCGTAATTCGGGGTTTGGGGCTCGCCTCAGGCCAGTGAGCTCGCTATAATTTGTCTAGAACAATGGTTTCCCCTCATTTTCAAGTGGTGCAGGATTTCGTCCATCCACAGTATCAAACCCCCAGGTTTCTCACATGTTCTTCACTGTCCAGGGCCATAGGGGTCGACTGCAGGGGGGTCTGCATTGGATGGCAAAGTAGGGTGATACGAGATAGTGTCATAAGAATGACTAGGACAACAAGGGTCAGCTGATCGATAGTCAAAGGGAAACCCGCTCCAAGAAGAAGAAACTCAAGAGAAAGGGACGTTCCCTTTCAAAGGGACCCTACGACCAGGTTCTGCGTCCGGTGTCACTTGAAGAACAGCCAAATCAGGGTTTGTCTTCAGCCTTGCAAACGTGATTCACAGTTTGCCAGCTTGTGATAAAAGGTCCTGTTGCAAAGCATGATAAAGGTCATTTCCGTCAAGCCACAGAACAAGCATGCCTGCAACGAATCAACATCACCAAGAGGAAACGCACCCAAAGGTCGAGCAAATGAGAGGGAAAATGTCCTGTAGATGATTTTGTAGTTGTTTTTACAGTTGAGTATTAAAAGGTCTAAGGGCGTAATAGTTTGATTGGGGTTTGGGGGGTGCCTGAGACATGATCCTAGGGGCAACATGTTGGTAATTCTCTAGCCGCTCATATTATGTGAGGTCAGAAAGCCCTAGGGTAGCGGTATAACCCTACGCGGCATGGGTGTAAGTCCCCTGTCTGTTGGTTGAAAAGAATGAATGATAGCCTTCCATGTTTTGTATAGTAGTTAACCAAGGGAATCGCTGAAAGGACAATGGCTGGTTACCTGCGAAAGTGTCTTGCCTGGGATCCCTTCGGCATGTGTGGATCGCGCAGGTTTCAGACCCAGGGCTCCTGCTTGAGACATTTTGCTTTGGTCTTCCCCCCAACCGCTTTCTTGTTGCCGCACTTGCGACTTTGCACATGGGAAAAAGGAGCGCAAACGACAAAAAATAATCTCGGTTGCGAAATCTGCTCCCCTGCTAACAGTGAGTTTAACTTTTTGTGGCTTAGTACGTAAAACCGTTTCATTAGTTGGCAAAAAAAGAGTTCAAGTCCTAACATCCCTTGCCAAAATGCACCAAAGTCATCGAGAGACACGACCCGAGGCACCGAGGCCGCGCCTTCACCTTGGGACAGCTCCTGCCGAAAAGTTTTCTTCGGGAAGAAAAAGAACCGCAGGGGCCGGATGTTGACACACGCGGATCATCCCAGGCAGGTGGATGGAGCAGAAACACGCCCGCCAAAAACCAAGTAGGTCTACTCATCCAGTTGCAGGGCCTACATCCACAGTAGTTGGGTCCAAGGTGGCATCTGCATGACCATCTCAAGGTTCCGAGCTCGGAAATCTCGAGCCCAAGCTTCACCTGCTGAACTACTCAAGTAGTGGGAGGGACCATACCCCGGAGATCATTGCGAGCAGCTCAAAACTCTCACTTTACAGCTACTAACCCCTGCCCCGCCCAACAACAACGAGTCTCCAGTGTGGACAAACAGCTTGTCAATACCATATTTGGTTGATCAATCTTTCTGGACCTCAAATGACCATGGGTCACTTTGCCTACTTCATGTTTCTGTGGCTGTCCCTCATGATTATCCCATCTACACCTTTTGATCAACCAGGTGAAATCCTGTGAATCTCAGTCACGAGCCACCCTGGACAGAATCTTCTGGGCGAATCGTAAATGATCAAAACTGAGGGTTCCATGGTGTCTGTCGAGGGTACTCCTTTTCGTGGCTTTAAAGGGAACCAAAGGGAAACCAAGCTTTTTGGGGGGGCCGCTACAAAAAAAAAAAGAAACCTGCAATGGGCGAGGTCGAACACCCATTGAGGTCGCGAGCATTTGTCCACCTAAAAACAAACAGGAAGAATCGTTATCTGTTCCTTAATCTTTATGTTAAAAGGAAAGCCAACACTTTCCTCGGTTGCTTTCTGCTCCCCTGCTAAAAGTTTAACTTTTAGTGGTTTAGTACGGAAAACCCACTAGTTGGCAAAAAGGTAAAGTCCTGAAAGCCAAGCAATATGCACCAAAACGTTCAGCGGTTTCCGTTTTTCATCTTCACAAAGTCAAGTTCGGCCGTGCCTGGTGGCCCTGGGGTTCCTTCCAACCGGCGGGCGCGCGCCCCGAGAGAGCCTCAGCAGCTGAACCTCCGCCTGAAGCGCCTCCACCTGAGCCAAGCGCGCTTGCTTGGCGGGCGAGCTCCAGGGTTGGAGACCAACTCGCTGGAATTTCTTGGTTGATGTTGGGTTTGGGGAGCAACAACTAAAATGTGTTGGCAGATAAGTGGATTTGGATTTAAACCACTCAATCCCACAATAAGCAACATGTAAAATGTGTCCCAACAACAACCATGATTAGGATCCCAGCCAAAAAATACAAACAAGTTTTGCCAGGTTGATCTAGGTCCTCCAAGAGAGAGGTTAGAACAAGGGTACCCGTTTTCTTTTTTCTTTGTTTTTCTCTGTAGTCTATTGTAGTAGGGGAACCCTCCCCCAAAAAAGGGTAAAAGGGCACTACTGGGGGACCTAGTAATGGAAAACAAAGAGACCCAAAGCAAACAATCGATCATTCTCGGGAAGTTGTTTTCTATCTGAGCCGCGGTCAGACTCATCTTGTCCAACATAGTGATATGTCCGGTGTTTCTTTAACCCAAGCCGTCGATTGCTCATGTCGTCCCAACATGGTGAGATTGTTGATTGTTTTTCTATATCCCAACCTCTTTAAATAGGCACTACTGGGGTCTTACTTTGGGGAAACCTCATGTCCCGAATGTTGTTGGAACTTGGTGAGCAATCCCCATGTCCGAATCATACTTAAATGAGCTGAGTGTGAGCCATGTCATTCCCGGGGAAACACCCATTCTCCCAGCCCCGCCGCCCCGCCGCCCGTCTTATCTTGCTGCCCAGTAGTCGGGATCCGGATCATGAACTGCTTGGGATCACCAAAAAGCAAACCACAAGGATAGCTTTTTCTCGGGCTCACTCCCTCATTGAGAACCAGCAGGCTAAACATGTTTAAACACACACTGCTCAAATACCCCTTTTCCTTTAAGGGGGGCCGAAACAGGTCTGCCTGTTAAAACAGAATTTGCCACACCGGCCTTCGCAAGTTTCAGGTTGGGGATTTGGAGCTGTGGATGTATAGAGCCTTTTGAGGGGGAAATACCCGGGTCATCTCTTGCCTCAAGGACTCTTAACTGGGCTGCCCTCAGTGTTAACTTGCACGAGTGGGGCCTGTTTTTTGAGAAGCGTTCTGAAATTCTCGCACGACCCTCGGAGTGCACATGTCAGATCAAATGAGTGTGACTGAAAGTTACACAGCCGGGTTGCCACCGGGGCCACTGGGGTTGCCAAAGTCCTAGCATTTGTTCCCAGGTACTGGATCGCCATATTTGGGGTGCCACTGCCAAAATGAGGAATTTCCCAGATTCATCAGAGATGCACATCACATCGCGCATTGCGCATTGAGCCATTGCGCATTGAGCCATGAAACCATGAGGGGTGCCACTGCCAAAATGAGGAATTTCCAGATTCATCCGAGAACATTGCACATTGCGCATTGAGCCATGAAGCATTGAGCCATGAAGCCATGAGTCTTCGACGCACTGTCGAGAAGCGACAGGCGGGATGGCGGGGGCAATCAAAATTCTTGGAATTTAGAGCTGGGTTTGGAGTTTGGAGTTGCTGGATTGATCCAATCAGATCAGGAGGCAGGAGGTCTCAGGAGGTTGCCACTTATTTCAGAGATCCCTTAACGGGGGACGGCGCCAGGGCGGCGGGTGGAACTACAAGCTGCAGAGCCTCATCGAGAGCCTTCTGGTGGCGAGGCTGCTGAGAAACGCTGCATCTGGGCCCGAATTATTGGGCCGGTGGGTGAGTTGGGCGGGAAACGAGATACCCTCACAGGCCGCCTTGTTTTGGTCATTCTGTTGGGTCATGCCCCCACCCCTAAGCGTCTGAGCGTCCGGTGGAATGAGAAGCATTGTGGGGCTAGTCAGCCCGGTCCACAGCGGCAAATCTGCCCGGGCCACCACGATGCCATCACAGGAGTCATTGACTCTGTGGTTCGTGGGCTGCTGCGGCAGCGGAACTTGATATACAACGTCCAGCTTCACGACGAGGAGATCTCGCACGGACATTGTCACCCGATCGGCCTTGGCCAGTACGACGGGGGAGTTCTGTGGGTCACCAAAGGATGGTGGTGACTACCCTTTGGGGGTGACGGAGCCGATGAGGGGGCGATCCCAATGACGCAGCGGCGCTGATGCTGGATTGATTCGTTTGCGCATTTCCCCCCCTAATTGTTGCCCGAATCTAATCGATTTGATTAATTTGATTGGTCCATTGTCCCATGATTGCAGGATGATTCCAACAGCCATTCTATTTGGGCTTCGCATTGAATTGGGGATGAGGCTCATGATGATTATGATTCCAACAAAAGCCTCAAATCATTCTCGTTCTTTTACTATTATGAGGATACCAAACAGTTCAAGGAGATTCCAAATTCCAAAGGGAATTTACTCAATAGCCTCAAGTCTCAAAGTATCAAATCAAAGTCTCAATAATCAATCAATAGAACTATTTTTGTTATTGGCACTGAATTGGGGGAAGGGGTAGGATTCCAGAACTGATGCATGATGATTTCATCAGGAACCCTAAAGGGTTTTTTCTTTAGTATTCGGCATGCGTCCTGGGAAGGAAGAATTGGGGATGAGAAAATGATGAAATAAGGCAGGATACCAGAATTACTTCAAGGATGATTCCGGGAATGATGATTCCAGGGTTTCTCAAACCTAAAGGACCTATGACCTAAAGTTCAAAGTATTCTTTTAGCATTGTCCTGGTGACCCGGTCAATGGGACACATTGTGACATTGTGTGTTGTTCAACTCCTGTGACTGTCGACACCTCTTGGAATATTTCGAGGTTGGGGGATCTAAGACCAATTCCATACTCCATTACATACATATTGCATATCGGTGAATCGGTGACTGTTCAACTGAAGTTCAACTTGGGCATTATTCGGAGGGGTTCACAGTGGAGTCCACAGGTCCGGTGTGCTAAGCCGGGTGGGTTGAGGGTTGTAGCATTTTTTGGGTTGTACTGAATGTATTGCATTGTAGTAGTTGGTTTGTATGGAATCAAACGTTTGGCTAGAGTTTGAGTGTGAGGGCTTTTTGAGGGAGGGTATTCTTTTTGGTGGTTGATTGATTAAACCAAACCCGACTCGCCAAACCCCAAGGCCCAAGGCCCCAAGCCCCACGTGCCCCCAAATGGATGATTTCGGAAATGCGGGGGTTCCATTTTCCATCTTTGGGGATTTGGGGGTGTCTTAAATTGCGATTCCAAAGTTTCGGTTGAGTTGAGCAGTTGAGCCGAGTTGAGCCACCTTTTTGCAGGGGGCGCCAACGCCAATTAGCATATTTTTGCAGATGACATTGTGAGACCTGGGTAGTATCCAGCGGATTTAGAGGAGTCCGGTCCGGTGTTCGGCTCGCTGTTTGGGAGTGTATAATCCTAACCCGTTGTATCATTTTGGGGGTTGGTTGATTGGCAGTTGGCTTATACACAGGGAAACCATCGTTTGGGTTGGTTTTGAGTTTTGAGTCTTGAGTCCTGAGCATTGAGGAGGGAATCCTTTTTGGGGGTTGATTGATTGAACTAACCCCAACTTGCAACACTCAAGGCCCCCCCAAATAGATGATTTCTGAAGTTTGGGGGTTCCCACCGGATTCCCACCTTTAGGTCTGGCTTGATTGTGGTTCCAAGGGTTCATTCGGTTGTGGTGAGTCGTGAGGGTCGAGGCTCGATGCAGAGGCAAGAGGTACCACCTTTTTTCGGGGGCGAGGCGAGTCGAGCCAGTGTGATATTTCAGATATGTTTGCAGATTCTTTACTCTCCGACTGACTTGGGTAGTATTCAGAGGAGTCCCCGACGTGAGTTCTGTATTACTCCTAAGCCGGGGGGGTTCAGGCGGGTTGCGTTTTCAGTGGTTGTCAGTTGTCAGTCAGGGGTTGTTTTTAGGGAATCCACAGTTTGACGTTAAGTTTGAGGGCAGGAGGGCAATTTGAAGCTATCCAATTTTGAGAGTTGGTTGAATTGAACCGGACTTGCGATTCGCACCACCTGGTTTGAAACCTTTCAACGACTACTTCCTTGTGGGATGCCCAACCTACACTCCAACTTCCACGACTCCACGACTGATGAATGTTGGAAGGAGGGTTGAGAGCTGTGGGGATTTTATGGTTGGTGGTTTAAATGGTTTTGGGCGTATGTTTGCGAGTTTATGGCTTTGTGGCTGTGAGCTGAGGCAGCTCTTCCAGAAGTACTGGTTCGCACCACTGCGCTGGTTCTGGGGCCGGATGCCGCAGAAGAGCTGACCCTTGGCCTTGGCAGTTTGAGTTTCAGGTCAGTAGGCAACACGCGGTAGGCATCAGCAATCAGGGAAGGCATTCTCAGCATTCCATGCATTGCCCTGCCGCTTGCCAGCCTGCCAGCGAGGAAGACAAAGATTGAGAACAAGGAGTTCAAGGTCCCGCACGAGGCGACAATCAGCCGTTGCCGCCTAAAACTGGATGCACCTCGACCTTGGCCTGTCAGACGTTGACGTGGCGAATCAACAAAGGTGTAAGTGCAAACTAGATTAGATTGTTTCTAGTGGAACGGTGAACTGTGGAACCATCAAATTTCGTGAAGCAACAAAGGTGTCAGGCTTGCTTCCATGTACCCTCCATGCGCACAGCTGCACGCACACATCGAGCTTACCGCACACACTTGAACTGAACACAACACTTGATGTTTTATGTGAGTCTACAGTCTACCAGTCTACTAGTACTACGATAGCCGAGGTCATACTGATGCGACTACGCCAAGAGGAGTGGTGCGCTGACGCTGCTCGCGGGCCTCAATTTGTCTTCCTTAGCTCAGACGCGAGCCTCCAGGGTGGCACTGACTTCCAGATGACTTTGGAGGATGCAATTCCTCGTGGTCGAGCTCACTTGGTGCCTTTCTTGATCAGCACGGCGGCACTGATGTTTCGTTTTCATTTTGATGTTTGACTGTCAATTTAACTTTGCCATGATTTTTGACTCGACTCGTATCGTGCGGTAGTTAATTAATTGGAGTCAATTGGGTACTGTGGATCTAACCGCTTGCTTGTTTAAACACGTGCCATGTTCAAGCACTCATGGTTGTGGTTGTACTAATTACTACTAGCATTTGTTTAACATTCAGCCTTGTCTCCTGGTAGGTCATTGAACACTTTGATGACCCGTCGGAGATGGATGCATTTAGCGCAGCTGACTACATGAGGACCACAGCCCTCCCATTGACAACGGTGGGGGCGCACAATGCCAATGTGGGCGCAAAGTATGAAGCTGTGATGGCTTCCTTGAAATTGGATGCTGCTTGGCTCGGCTTCAAATATCAAGTGCGTGCCAACCACAGAACTTGACCCGCGTAGCCTTATTTCTAATTGATCATGATCAGAGTGCCGGCGTGCAGGGTGTGGCAGGGGTATGACAGAAAGAAAATGACTAGGCTAGCGGCTAGGGCTAGGAGTCGGTATGTTTGATCACTGCTGACTTGCCGATCGAGCTGTTCGATTCTAGTCTGCGAAGTGAAGCTCTTTGAGTTTGGTCGCAACATGTCGCAACCAAGGTAGGTCTTCAAGGAGACAGAGTAGAACGATATGGAGACAGCGTGATCAGCTTTGTAGGCGACTATGGAACGGAGGCCAAATTCATGGAGGCGCCGTAGCATGAGTTCAGCGGGCTTTCTAGATGTATTTGTTTGCTGCTTCCGGGGCCAGAATACAACCGTGTAGAAAGTGTAGAACTTGAAAAACTTTGGCACACACACGATGCATGTGGCACATATTCCCATTTGGGTTGTCTGGCATGTTTGTTCAGCTGCTGTCAATTACGGACACTCCGCTGGCGCTCACGCTTCTCAGTTCTCACTGTTTTCAAGTGCCCCGCGCCGAGATCCCACCAGTGGATGTGACGAAGATGGTCAATGACATCGTGGGCAATTCGAAAGGACTGCTGAAGTTTGCAGACGATGGGGCGAGGGGAGTTGGAGGTGGCGAAGAGCTTGCGGTCCCCTCACCATCCCGTCTTTTTTCAATCCGCAATGCGCTCTGGGTGCCGGGGCCGAAGCACATGCTCCACAATATAACTGGAGACATATTAGAGCGCTTGAAGCACTTCGCAAACTTTCAGCAGTCGCTCAAGGCATGCGTAGCCACTCGGTTGAGTATGGTCGATGATTGCTCAACGATTGTCATCATTTGTTTGAGATTTGCTTTGTGACTTTTGAACATGTTGGATTCGCTGGGTGCAGCGTGATATTTTCTTCCCCACCCCCCGCAATTTGATTAGGACATGCTGCATCAGCCACATTATCGAGACCGCTTGTCTACCATGATTTTCGATGACACAGAGTTTGCAGAATTATTCAAGTCATGGGAGGGGGGAAATCTCATCATGTGGCGGTGGGGGAGCCTAATTGACTGTCTCCGGGCCTTGTCAAGACGACGAGGGGCTCTTCAATGCCACTGGTCACTTGAACGGTATCTCGCATCCGAAGAGCCGGACGAATCAGCACAACAAGCCCAGCAACGTCGAAACAGGGGCAAGGGCCCGCGCATGAGTGCTGATCCTGAAGCACGAAAGGCGTTGCAGCGTTTCAATGACGCAGTTGGAGACCCATTCTTCTGGAGCTATTTGGACACCCGACTTAGAATTTGACTCAGTATCCTTTTCAGTTTTACATTCACCGTCAAGTGTGAACCGGCCTTTGGTTGGGGTAGCATGCTGTGACGCACACGCATACCCAATGCTCAACATAGGACTTCCTTCTGATCGTGGTCGGATCCATCGAAACTGTGGAGTCGTGGGTTGCATCTTGCAGCTGCCATGAGACAGATGTACACGCACAGGGCGGACACTAGGCAGACTAGGCAGTGCTGAATTCTATGTTCTTGCATTTGTCGCTACTCAGTGAACGAGCGGTTGCTTCTTCTTCCATGTTTTTCCGGCGCCCTCTCGCCTCACGTTGCGCCCTGTACATGTTACATGGTGCCATCCTGTTGGGTTCCTTCCGGGTCCGAGGAACCTCACGGAAACGGGCGCTGGACGCACGCATTCGCCAAGCGTCGGGCGGGCGACCCAGAAGCCGGATCTCTGACGCAACCCCATCGGCATTGACCACCTGCTGCATGCAGGGCCGCAAAGCACCAGAGTTTGCCGGAGGTGCCTTCAAGAGATTCTGCCACACAGTTCCTTTGATTTAGTACAGATTTTGTATTGTTATTTTCTTGCGGCACCCAGAACGGTCATTACGGCGCGTCTGAACTTGAAGCTTTGACACTCTGCCACACTATAAAAGTTGTTTGCCCTAAGCGACATTATGTCAAGATAACATACACAATTTGTGTGTGTGGGATTAAGGTTGCCACCTTGGCGACCAGTGAGTTTGTGGCTGTCACAGCCAACATGTCGCCTGGCGAGAAGCAAGTCGATCTGGCTACAGATTGGACTGTTGCACTGGACACGCTGCTCACAGAAATGAAGGACGCTTGGCTTGGTATGCTGAAATAAGTTAAACAACTGTAAACCAGCTTTAAACGCATCCTCTGGACCTTAGCTCCCCATTGATTTGTTAAAACCCCATTCAAATGTATACACATAGGGCAGCAGCTCCAATCGCAAGAACATATTTCTCTAATGCGCACCTGCTGCCTAAGGTAAAGACCTCATTTTGGCAGCTGCTCCCTTGGTGCTTGTGCGCGTTGGCCCTTCCGGACGAGGAGGATGCCAGAGCGGCAGGTCGTGACGCGGTTGCTCAGTGGGAAGCCGCAGCAGGGTCAACAGTTCCGACTACGCTCTACGGGGTCGGGCATCGCATGAGCCAACGGCTACTGGATCCACACTTTGTTGGAACTGAAGGTGATGTGGCCCTCCGGCCAAGTTTGGACGAGCGCCTCTGCCGTTGACTTGAAATTTTAACCATGATGATGTCTCGTGCTCTTGTTGCAGCATATTTGGACTAAGTTTGGACTGCAGGGCTTTGTTTAAAGTCACCACGCAACTTACCCAGAGTCAGTTGCTTCTGAGGTTCCTGGGTGGTGCGAGGCGACAAGACCTACCGGAGCTGTGCATGTGGATAGGAGCATTAAGATGTGTGAAGACCACCGAGCAGCCGACCGAGGCCCGTGCTGGAACAAATCCATGAGCATGTGTTGCGTTTCCCACGGTTATATTATTGTAATTTTGAATCATTTGTAATCATGAGGTGATTTCTTGTTTCCAACTCCAACTTGCCAACAAATATGGGTTCAATGATTTCCCTAATTTTGCTCACTTTTCCGCTACATCTTTTTTGACGACTACTGGAGTTGCGTAAGACCAAGGGAGACAGTCATTGAAAAATGGGCCCCTGTTGCCCTTGCTATTTTGGGCTGGTCGCGCCCATGGTGGCCGCCGCGGCTGCCATGGGCGCGTACAAGGCAAATTTCCAATGATGTGTGTTTTCTGGCTAGGGACTGCACCGCTCCATCCACCAAATCATGAGCCGTGCGCCAAATGCTTCTGCAGCCTACATCTCGACGGAATCTAGGCTGCCCGCCTTTCGCCGGATCTTTGATAGCCCGGCGCTTCTGGCAAGGTTGGTTGACAGAAACCAGGACTTATCCAACCAAGCAGCTTTGTCCCTAGCGGTGGCGAAGCTGGTGGGAGGCGACTGCTGTGTTCCGGCGAGCAAGTTGAAGCACAACCAGCTTGTGGAGCTTCTGTATCACACAAAGTTCAAATTTTGCCGTGGCAAGCAGACTAACGCGCTGGTCCCCTTTTCTGATGCTGAGAAGTTGAGGCGAAACAAGCATCATGGCGAATGCAAGTGTTTGCTAGTTTGCTTAGCTCAGTCTCAGTTCAGTTTAGTTTGTAGTTGCTGATACCCAATCACTGGTGCTGCGAGTGGGATTTGAGTTGTTTGTTTGGATTTGGTTGTTAGGTTGTTCAGCTACTTCGCAAGCTCAGCCAAGTTCGTGTGTGTGTGTGTGTTCCCGGTACGATCTCAGGCAGCTGTTGGCCGTTGAGCAGCGATCAAGACTGCCTGAGATGACCCGGCTGTTGCTGGATCATTTCCGGAGAGTTTGCGAGCCGGGTGCATTTTATTCGCTGCCCATGGGTTTGTTTAAGCAAATCCCCGTGGACGAGATCACAAATCCGTTGCAGTCAGCCCTGCGCGCCCAGACAAAGGCCCGGGACAAATATGCGCCTGGGCATAAACCCAAACTCCCAGTGTCGACTTTTTTTTGGAAGCGGTCCATGCATGGAAACCTCAATCAAATAACATAGGACTCTGCTCGTCGACGGAGAAACCGCTCATCTTTTTGCATTTTAAGGAAGTGACGCCGAGTGTCCGACCTGCC